AGAATAGAAATGGTGATCTGTATAGAAATAGAGGATAGAAGAAATGGTGATCTGTATAGAAATAGAGGATAGAATAGAAATGGTGATCCGTATAGTAATAGAGGATAGAATAGAAAATAGATATAGTAATAGAGGATAGAATAGAAATGGTGATCTGTATAGAAATAGAGGATAGAATAGAAATGGTGATCTGTATAGAAATAGAGGATAGAGTAGAAATGGTGATCTGTATAGTAATAAATAGAGGATAGAAATAGAGGATAGAATAGAAATGGTGATCTGTATAGAAATAGAGGATAGAGTAGAAATGGTGATCTGTATAGTAATAGAAGTAAAAATAGAGGATAGAAATAGAGGATAGTAGAAATGGTGATCTGTATAGAAATAGAGGATAGAGTAGAAATGGTGATCTGTATAGTAATAGAGGATAGAATAGAAATGGTGAGGTAATAGAGGATAGAATAGAAATGGTGATCTGTATAGAAATAGAGGATAGAGTAGAAATGGTGATCTGTATAGTAATAGAGGATAGAGTAATAGAGGATAGAAATGGTGATCTGTATAGAAATAGAGGATAGAGTAGAAATGGTGATCTGTATAGAAATAGAGGATAGAGTAGAAATGGTGATCTGTATAGTAATAGAGGATAGAGTAGAAATGGTGATCTGTATAGTAATAGAGGATAGAGTAGAAATGGTGATCTGTATAGAAATAGAGGATAGAGTAGAAATGGTGATCTGTATAGAAATAGAGGATAGAGTAGAAATGGTGATCTGTATAGTAATAGAGGATAGAGTATAGTAATAAGGATGGTGAAATCTGTATAGAAATAGAGGATAGAGTAGAAATGGTGATCTGTATAGTAATAGAGGATAGAGTAGAAATGGTGATCTGTATAGTAATAGAGGATAGTAGAAATGATCTGTATAGTAATAGAGGATAGAGAATAGAAATGGTGATCTGTATAGAAATAGAGGATAGAATAGAAATGGTGATCTGTATAGAAATAGAGGATAGAGTAGAAATGGTGATCTGTATAGTAATAGAGGATAGATAGAAATGGTGATCTGTATAGAAATAGAGGATAGAATAGAAATGGTGATCTGTATAGAAATAGAGGATAGATAGAAATGGTGATCTGTATAGAAATAGAGGATAGAGTAGAAATGGTGATCTGTATAGAAATAGAGGATAGAGTAGAAATGGTGATCTGTATAGAAATAGAGTAGAAATGGTGACCTGTATAGAAATAGAGGATAGAGTAGAAATGGTGATCTGTATAGAAATAGAGGATAGAGTAGAAATGGTGATCTGTATAGAAATAGAGGATAGAGTAGAAATGGTGATCTGTATAGTAATAGAGGATAGAGTAGAAATGGTGATCTGTATAGAAATAGAGGAAATGATCTGTATAGAAATAGAGGATAGAGTAGAAATGGTGATCTGTATAGAAATAGAGGGATAGAGAAATGGTGATCTGTATAGTAATAGAGGATAGAGTAGAAATGGTGATCTGTATAGAAATAGAGGATAGAGTAGAAATGGTGATCTGTATAGAAATAGAGGATAGAGTAGAAATGGTGATCTGTATAGTAATAGAGGATAGAGTAGAAATGGTGATCAGTATAATAATAGAGAATAGACTAGAAATGCAGATCAATTAGACGTCACACTACCTTCTATATATGTGTTTCCTCTGCCATGTGGTCTAATTAATTCAATAATGGGATCATCTGTGTTTGCTAACTGGCGATCTATGTTCAAACTTAAGTGCCGCCAGTGGCACTTTATTCTTATATAACACATTTCCATGGAGATATATTTCTAGTTTGTCCTTTAAAAAATTCGCCTGAGTGTAGAACAAAAAAAATAGACAAGTGGATTTTGACCCAAATTTTTAAATTAGCATTTAATTACTTAGATTTACAATCTGTCTGCTACAAGTGAATAATGCTAAGGAAGTTCAATTAATATTTTCTTGGATCATTATTATATAATTATATGGCACAAATTTGGTACCGGTCCCTGGAACACTGGGAAGACTTTTTACGTCAATGATGGCTGCTCTGAATAAGACATCATGTCTACGAGTTTAGTTCAGACAGTTTCAAAATGACCTTGAAACAGGGCATAACTTTAAAAGAATTAAGGGTAGGATTCCAAAATGCAAACCCATGGGACTGTAAGATTTGCTCGCCGATCCCCCAGTTCACTGAGAAAACAAAACTGCCTGTACGCCACATCAGATTGTTTAAAAAGCATTGCTGTAGCGAACGCTGCTCGTCTACTGGGGAGAATATTATCACTACAATAAAAATGTAAACACTGTGTGCGTTAAGTATCACTTAACTTCAGAATTTGTACAAACAGTGTGCATATATTTACTGGTATGTCTTATCTTAAATTTCAGATAATAACTCGATAGAGGATTGTACTTAAGATAAAAGAATAAAATAAAATAAAAGATGACGAATCACAAAAACAGAATATGCTTTCTGATTGACATGGCAGTCCCTGCAGACTGGAATGTATCTTTGAAGATCTTCAAAAAACTATCAAAATAAAAGGAACTTGAAGAGGAAATGTCAAAAATATGACACATGAAGACATCAATAATTCCAGTTGTAGTTGGAGCACTCGGATTGATTGGAAATATTTCTAATACAAACACATATTATCAGGAGAAATACATGTTATATTTATCACTGGGCACTCCATACTTTCGGCTTTGTGCCACATCTAAGCTAAGCTTAGAAAATCGCCACATGATATATTTATTGCATGAATAAAAATCTTATCAACATCAGTTAATACAAATTCTATTGTGAAAAATTAATATTGCATAATAAAATCTGATATAATGTATGAAGAAAATAACTGTACCCAATTTTGACGCAATTGCTATTGTCCTGAAGAGAAGTTGTAAGAATCGAAACCAAGCAAACGGTTCATTGATTAAAATCAGTTAGGATATTCTGGGGCACAAAGGAGACTCGCGGGTACATTATCTCTGATTAAAAGGCTGTGAAAATTAGAGATTCATATTATTAACAATATACAGATAAAAACTGTGGTGTATATACACATGTATATATACCGGCTGTAACAGCAAAACTGTCCAAGTCGTGTAACAGCATAATTGTTCACCCCACAAAATGTTTAATATCTAAAAAATAAAAAACATTAAACTAACTGAGTTTCTTTTTTCCATGTTTTCATATAAGACGCTTAGCCATCTTGACACCATTTGTCGTAAATGAAAAAGTCCTTTGAGTTATTCAGCTAAAAAGGGGACAGGTTAAAAACGTTTTTGTCTTCCCAATTGAGCAATGGTGAGAGGAAAAAGAACATTCAGCCCTTCAGTAATGGTACCAACATTCATACTGTGGCTTCTATATTCAAAGTCCATTCAAGAACCATCAAGAGAATGGTGAAAAAGTTTAAAAAAGAGGGAACAGTAGAGAGGAAAACTGGATCAGGAAGTCACAACAAGAAGAGGGGTCATCATTTCAACTTAGAGCTAAAGAGATTAATTAGAAAAGATCCAACTAAATCCATAAGACATTTAGCACATCATAGGAGTTTCAGCTATAACAGTCCAAAGAACAGTGAAAAAATACTTGAAAATGAAATCGTACATTGTTACTCCAGGATAGAAAGTTAGAAGGTGAGATCATATTGAATAAGTTGGAATATGATCCTGGAATTATATATATATATATATATATATATATATATATGATCGAAATAAAAGTGTAAAATTTAATATTACAAGACATATTAAAACAATATTAAATAATTAAAAAAAACTCAACAACAAGGGGGGGAAGCAAATTAAAAAAATTAAAACAGAGAAATGTACAATAAGAATTTTATTGTACATTTGTAATATTAAATTTTATACTTTTATTTCGATCATTAAATTTTGTACCTACAAAATATCTTTAAATATATATATATATATATATATATATATATATATATATATATATATATATATAGTTAGTTAGTTAGTTAGTTTATGAAAAAACTAGGTAATCCGTATGGATAGACCCAAGGAGGATAAAATCCAGAGAGCTCAATGTAAATCCGGAGCAAATAATTTAAATAAAAACAGACCAATTTAAGGTTCCATGTAATAAATTATTTCACCACACCATATATATATATATACATATATATATATATATATATATATATACCCTTGGGAAAGGTATTAATCCTCTTCTTCTCCCTCCAGTAACTAGCAGGATAGACTGGGTTCTATAGCCTTGGATGGCAACTGGTCTAGGAGAAGGACAACTCTGAATTCAAAACCTGCAGAGGGTTATTTGGAGACCTTGTGGCACATACTGCACCAGGTCTCTGTATTCGGCCCTTCAAAAAGTGTGGATGGTCCTGCGCGAAGCCTTCACCGCTATAATCAAATCATATGTGCTGGTGTCTGGACTGTTGGTTCCTAGGAACTGAGCTGCTTGACCCTCATACGACGGGAAAGACTACTCTATATACATATATGAACATGTAAATATCCACCACACACACACACACACACACATATATATATATATATATATATATATATATATATATATATATATATTAGAACATGTAAATATCCACTACAAAATTGTACATTTTGTTTCAACGTTAAATCAACGTATCTTCAGGTGGCTAACAATGATGGTACTAAACGATTTTATTCAGAATTACGATTAATAAAACACTGATCTTTGGAAAATTTCCATAAAAGTTAAAAAGGATTTATATAAATCCTCTTTCCTGCGAGTCTGTTTTATAAAGTAAGTTTTCTGTCATTCCCACTTATTAATACGAGATATATGGCGACGATTCATCCAAATACACGTGGCAGGACAGGTTTTAGCTGCGAGATTTAGAAATGGGTTGGCTCGCCAGAACATATGCCATGGATATAGCGATCGAGTAGCGAGATGATTGCAACACTTCGTCTGTGGGGAAACGGGTTGTAGGGTGGGAAAATGTACGCACTAATTTTCCTCTTCTTCGTCTTTTTCTTCTTCTTTTCTTCTTTTTCTTTTCTTCCTGTATCACTGCTATATTTCTTCTTCTTCTTCTTCTTCTTCTTCTTCTTCTTCTTCTTCTTCTTCTTCTTCTTCTTCCAATGCTCTTTTGTCACCGTCACTTACGTACTCTGCGACTACTAAGCATGGTTGAACCTCATCGTAAATGGTGTTTTTTTCATAGTCAGCCAATGACATGCCTTCTAGAAAATTTAACAATTCTTACTTCAAGGACAATCATTCAACTAAATATATCGGATACTGAGGAGAGTGCTGGTGCATTGAAAGGACTTGCTGTCGCTTAATCTTCAGGGTAAGTCTCGGATTATTACTGGCATGAACACTCGGTAAGTGAATGAAAAAGGTAATAATTAAGAAGAACAACAACAAAAACAAGAAGAAAAAAAAGAAAGAAAAAAAAGATGTTGTCGAAGATGAAGAGGATATAACATTAACAGAAGAAGAAGAAGAAGAAGAAGAAGAAGAAGAAGAAGAAGAAGAAGAAATAGCAGTTATAGGGGATAAAGAAAAAGAAGAAAATGTACAAGAAAAAGAAGAAAATATAGAAGAAAAAGAAGAAGAAAATATAGCAGCAATAAAGGTAGAAGAAAAAGAAAAAGAAAATATAGCAGTGATAGAAGAAGAAGAAGAAGAAGAAGAAGAAGAAGAAGAAGAAGAAGAAGAAGAAACTTGAATATTAATAATAAACACAAACGTCATCTGAAAGCTGTTTCTCGGGTCAGTGTATCAATATTGACATATTCTACAACTGTCTCAGAGTCACTAGGGTATGGAAGGGGTAGATGCAGACAGACATCCTCCTGGGTGTCATTTCAATATGGCATTCCCCCTCCTACCCCTATATTGCCCAACGCAGTAGGAATTTTAAGTGGAGTTTGACATCCGTCTAAATATTTTTCTGTTGTTGGCAAAGGGGTAGACATGATATGGGCTTGGCCTTCTTCTAGCATATTACATTCGCTCATACATAATATTCAAAGCTCTCTCCCCACCCCCCACTTCTCTCACTCACACGATCCTCACTTTCTCTTTATATATATATATATATATATATATATATATATATATATATTGGGAGAGAGAGAGAGTTGTAGAAATGATTTAAATAAAGAGATACGATCACCCGTATACATGAGCGATTACGTACCCATACAGGTGAGCAAATAACTATTTATTTAATCAATGGTGTAGACAAAGCAGTGCTCAATGTAGTAAATCAGAGCTATAAAGTATGTTGACCATGTTTGCCGTAGTCTCTGAATATGGAATCCAGTGAAGTCCGTAATATCTTCAATATCAGAGGTTGGCAATGAAGATATTTTGGGAGAAAAAAAAACAAAAATGGCTGCCTTTATACACGTCGGATTGAATATTTTGAGCTTTCTGATTGGTTAACCCTTCTCTTGGTGGACTATAAAATGAGTCAGCTCATTTTGGCTAGCTTACTAGTACAAAAACTACCCAAAAATTCCAACAAAGTATATATTAATAATTACACATGTACCTCCGTTTAAAGTGGGATTCAGAGTTTCATAGCTTTAGCAATCATCAGGTACAAAAAGTTACGTACTGTTCAATACAGTTGGGGTTTTTTTTGTGTTTTTTTTTAATTTCTGAGTCTCATGGGAGCAACGCCATATTGTGTGTGGATTCACATTTCAAGATTATTATAAATAAAATATATTATTGGAGAATAAATTCAAAACATATAGTGTTGATAGGTAGATATCGAAAAATAAACTGAGTTATTAATATTAAAAAGAGATATTTATCCGTTGTGCATTGAGTCAACGGATAAGATTATTTCAATAAGAACTAAAAAAAAGTTGGTAGTTACCAAGTAAAAAGCGTGGGTATGTAAAGAAGAATATAAGAAAATAGAAAGAAAAATTTAAGCAATAATAAAAAATAATAATACGAGCTAAAAAAGAAACGCCGGGTTAAAAACAGTTCAGATGTTGTAAGGAATGCAACTAGAAATGGAAACCAAAAAACAAAAAAAAATTAAATATTTGTGGCAGGTCATTTAGGGTATTGCAGAGAAGATAGGATAACTGCTCTAGCCAGCATCGAAATATTTGAGATTTTCTTCTATCGCTGCAAGTAATCATAAGCTCATTATCTGTCTATATTTCTGAGATGAGGTATTATGTACATTATTTACATTATTCGGACTATTGTCCTTATCTTTGTCGCCATATTTATCACAACGTTTCAACCTTTCAGTATCTGTCGATATTTCTGAGATGAGGTATTATGTACACTATTTACATTATTCGGACTATTTTCCTCATCTTTGTCGCCATATTTATCACAACGTTTCGGCCTTTCAGTATCTGTCGATATTTCTGAGATGAGGTATTATGTACACTATTTATATTATTCGAACTATTGTCCTCATCTTTGTCGCCATATTTATCACAACGTTTCGGCCTTATCCACAGTGCCATGTGTCCTCAAGGAGGTGAATTAACAGGAGATAACTGACATCCATTAGACATGGCACGTGGAACTAGAACAGTCTACCCCAGCGAGCGAAATAAAGGGTTCAATTTGACATTCCAACCACCTGAAGAAGGCCGGAGCGTACAACGGCCGAAACGTTGTGATAAATATGTCAACACAGATGAGGACAATAGAATGAATAATGTAAATAGTAAAAAATAAACAAGCTGGCTGATGATATTGAGGAGACTGATGGGTCTGTTCCGGGGTTGATATTTTTAAGGAGTGCCACTGGAATTGTCCGGATCGGTGGCTTTCTTAGGGTCAACGCCTTAGATAACTCTACAGACTTGTGTTGTCACAGTAATATTTTTGAGATTGTGCTCAGTGAGACGTGGACACTTGGGGAGGGGATTAACTCTATCAACGTAGAGTTTGAGTCAAAGATTCAGGCGAAGAGGTTAGCCTTGTCTGTCGAAGAAGATATAACCCCGAGGCCATTTATAGCTAAGCGCACACCCGTTTTACCTATTTTCATGATTTAGTTGGTAATCTTCCAGAATTCAATGGATCCAACTCTTTTCAACCTTGGTCTGGACTGCTCGGGCATAGCTGCAACTTGGCGTTTTGCAGAACGTTTTTGCAGCGATTACATGCAGTTCTGAACACAGTGAGAGCCGAAGTATATCGCTCCTTGCGATATTGAAGTAGTAGTTTCGGTGACCTATAGCTGCAGGACACCCAGGGGTGAACTAAAGTTGGCAGTTTGCTTTTTTGCTGGAATTTGTCTTTAGTGGAGGAGGGTATAAAGAAAGAATCCAATCAGTGACAAGAGCAGCAGTTTTGGCGACGGCATTGTTGAAAAGGTTTGGGGGGGTTCCATCATGTAGGACCGAAAGCTGTTTCAGTCTACCTTCGCACACATCAGGAGATGCCTTAAGTTTGGCATCAATCTTGACACTGATTCGGGAATGGCTTGATGTGCCTTGGTTTGACGGGTAAAACTCAAACTTTTGCATTTATCAGGGCAGGGATTTCGCCTAATGTCCAATCGCGTCCGGGACACGTGCAGGTTCTTCGATGATCTGAGTTAGTTCATAGGCGACAGAGAAGTCTCGCCAATATCATATGATTTGTTGGCGTGGACGAGCTATTCTTTATGGGGGATATTGAAGTCACCACAGATACGAAAGCTGGCCGAGGGAAATTGAGTGAGGATATTATCAATCTTTTCTGATATTCGATCGAAGATTACCGCCTCTTCGTCCTGTGGGCGATAGAGAGCAAAAAAGAATGTGGTAAGTACTACGCGGAAGCACATCTAAGGGAGATCAGGGTCCTCGTTTTTTTTTCGTCCCTGACACAGGGAAACTCGTCCTTGATGTTGGCTCCGAGTCCGTGGCCGTGACGATTTAGGTGGTCATGTTTTGCTATCAGGTGAGCAGCCCGAGACTATGAGCTCCTCTAGTGCGCTTGAGACGTTGATACCGTTTTCAGAAAGTAACAGGACGCCCGGTTTGGACTGAAGAAGATGGTATTCCACTCCTGGAAAGTTGAAACCTAGACTCCTCACGGTTTTGTAGGATATGGTATACGTGGGGGTCTACTTTTTACGTTGGCTTTACTAATTTTGATTGGTTTCAAGTGTGTATTGCTTGGTGGAAGACTAGTAGGCAGAGAGGCAGACACACCCATAGGAGTTGCATGTATAAATAACCCGGAGGGGATCGTGCAAAGATACTGCCATAGCAGTACCCTTCGCCATAGCATCGTGAGGCCTCTACCGCAGACTATTGCACGCCCCAGAAACCATTCACTAAATGGCAGTCGGGGGTTTCTTATTTACTCCACAACAGTCTTTCTTTATCTCTCTTTCTTTTTCTTCTTCTCGCCCAACGCAGACTCTCTCTCTCTCTCTCTTTGGGGGGGTTACTCTTTTGTCTTCTGTCTTTCTTTATCGCTCTCTCTTTTTCTTCATCTTCTCCTGGCTCAATGCAGACTCTTTCTCTCTCTCTCTTCCTCTCTCACCTCCTCTCTCTTTCACATACACACACTCTCCCTTTCCTTCTTTCTCTCTCTCTCTCGCTCTCTCTCTGACAATCTTTAGGGTGATTTTCTTTCAATTTCTGCACTCCACCGAAACACTGACATCCACATTCTAGAAAAAAAATTATTTTAATTTTTGACGGCTATATCCAATTTGCACTGTTCCCAGTGGATCACTTTCTCCACCCAATCATGCCTACTTCTGTACTCCACCCGAGCCACGTTATTGCCATTGTTTATATAATTGGATATGATTGTTTTAAAATTGTTATTATTATTGTAGTTTTTGTGGTTGTCTACTTAATTATTATTATTATTATTATTATTATTATTATTCCACCTCTTCCTTCTTCTTCTTCTTCTTCTTCGCTTCCTCCATCACTTCTTCTACTTCCTCTCTTCCTCCTCCTCTTCATGTTTAGTTTTGTAGTTGTCTACTCAAATATTATTGTTATTATTATTATTATTATTATTATTATTATTATTATTCTTCTTCCTTTCTTCTTCTTCTTCTTTTCTTCTTCTTTCTTCCTCCTCTGCCTCCTCTCCTTCTTCACCTTCTCCTCCTACTTCTCTTTCTTCTTCTTCTTCTTCTTCCTCTCTGCCTCCTCTCCCTTCTTCACCTTCTCCTCCTACTTCTCTTTCTTCTTCTTCTTCTTCTTCTTCCTCTCTGCCTCCTCTCCCTTCTTCACCTTCTCCTCCTACTTCTCTTTCTTCTTCTTCTTCTTCTTCCTCTCTGCCTCCTCTCCCTTCTTCACCTTCTCCTCCTACTTCTTCTTCTTCTTCTTCTTCTTCTTCATCCCATTCTACTCTTTCTTCTCTGCCTCCTCTTTCTTCTTCTCTTTTTTCCTCCTACTCCTTCTCTTCCTTTTTCTTATGTCCTGCAGTTTTTTTTATACTCTCCAGCAAGGTTTTAGTACTTTATTTTTTTCTTGCCTTCTTTATTTTTGTTAATTATTTTTAGGGTTGCTATCATTCATTCGTTTGATTTCCCACCAGCAATCAACAATGGCTTTCAACGGCGATCAGGTGACAGTAAATCTCATCAATATTCCACCATTCTCCGCAGTAAATGTCAGCTATTATTATTATTATTATTATGTTGGTGTCGGACATTGACATAGCCAATGGAAATTCTTGCTGCTAGATGCAGTTTATCGTCATACCCAGTACTATCATTTTGTATGGGTAAATTTATATTCAATCTGCATATCACCACCATTTTGTCAGCCATTATAGAAATCTATATGAATGATGATATCTCATTTGCCAACATCCGTGGAATTTCCAAAATTCGAAAAAAATATTATTATTATTATTATTAGCATAATACCCGTAAAAAATGAGGTGATTAATTACGCATGGATTGGCACTTATAAGAAATATATATTTGAAAAATTCTTATTTTGAGGTGTTTTATTGGTCAGACAGCGTTAACAGAAATAAAATTGACTCTTCTGGCTAAGATCCGTGTAGTACCTGTGCGTTTTATCCCGGATCAAAATGTTATCTCGAATTCACTGCCGAGTATCAATGTAATATATGGGCATTCTATCTGACTTAAGTAACTGCTAGTTCATTTTACAGCGTTGGTCAATTCAGTCAGACGTTCGAATTATCAGGATTCACTTCTTAATATCAAACATATGTTTACATTAGCGCCCCAAACACTGTAGAAATAAAGAAATATACAGAAAAAGTCGCATTATTATTATTATTATTATCATCATCAAATGCCTATTCATTTTTGTTAAATTTACCGAGACGTTTATTTATGCTTACGAAAAATGTTGAAAGCAATCGATAAAAATTTTACGGGATTTATCGAATGTAAGGCCGGTTCTGGCTGCCCGGAGTTTGCCGAAGTGAGGGTCACGGTGTTCCACGTGTCATCTGAACAATGACAACAAAACCAGTGTTTATATCAAAGCCGAGGTTTTCAAATAAGTGCCACAGGCGGACTTGAATAAAAGCTGCCAGGTTACGTGACAACGAGCTCTGTTCGTTTAATTTATGATCGTGACAAATCGTAAACGTGTCTGTGTGCACTGTTTCGCTTTAGACATCCCAGCCAAGTAATAGACTCGACACCTTGTATCATAATAAAGCGATTTCTTTTCAAACCAAAATACTGGAGAAGGCCACAATAAATAAATATAAATAAAATAAAAATAAGACGAATATTCTTTTGAGCTGTTTAACACCGCCTTACGCTGCTTCAATAAATATTAAAAATCTAAACGAATACGAAATGTTAAAATAATCATGAATGCTGGTATTTTATATTGAATCAATGATTTCAGTGTTAAAAACACAAGATTTATTTACCTCAGCTTAGCTTCAAGTACTATTCAGCGAAAGTCGTCGAGATTATGTGGGGTGGCCAAACTTACTTAGTGTAGATATTTACTCAACCCCCACGAGGTCAGGTTGTGACACAAGGTCGGTTTAATGTGGGGAGCCCGAGCGCGTACACCCGGGCAAGGAACAAAAATTCCCCGAGCCTCCGCAAACGTCGGTTACGCTGGCCTCGACGCATGCACCGATCCTTCTCTATAGTGTAATGAGAAGACGTGGCCTCGGGCAAATGTTCCCCAGGGCCGGCATCTCTCAGTATAATTTTCCTCAATTGCGATTCTGTCCTTTGACGGAGTCGTCCCTGAGTGCACTCTGCCCAAAGACAGAGACGCAACTAAGAGATGGTCAATCGACGCGAAATTACTCAAAAAGAGTAATTTGCACGCATCGATTTTCCAAGCGTAGCTTAGATGTGGCACAAGGTCGGAAGTAAGGGGCACCCAGTGAGGATTAAACTCACTACTCAGTCGTAATTGGTTCTAGCGAAACAACTAACCATTACACCACCTCGAGGTGCCCAAACTTAGTGTAAGTACCACATACGACAAATTTCAGGTACCTGGGAGCCGCAAGACATGAAATTAGGATTTAAATTTTTAAATATCTTTAGTAAACATGAACATTTCACGGCATCTGTTCCGACGAGCTGCTTTCGCTGTGTTCCCAGACTGCATGAATTTCAGCGACCCTCCGGGCTGGCATCTCGGCCCCACCCTTTCACTGTCGAAACGGTTAAATGTATCCGTCTCTTCTATTCGAACAGCTTCTCCTCTCGCATTTACCGTCCGCGAAACTCCCTTTCTCATGCTTGCTTCCCTGATAAATATAATTTTCAAATATTCAAATGTAATGTCAATCGACATCTTCTGATACCTTCATCTTGTACCCCGTCCTTCTCTATATCTTTCCCTCAAACACGCCTCTTTACTCTTGCTCTCAATCCTCTGTTACCCCTTGCGTGCTAGTGGTACTCCCAACTTGCTTGGGGTGAATTGCTTTAAAAAACAAAAATCCAGCGGAGTTCATACCCAGTAAATATAAAGCTTTGAATTTTTTTTTCTTATTTACCTTTTTATATTAACGGTGATGAAAAAAAAGGGAGCTTAGCCAAGATATTTCCACGAACCGCATATTGAAGATCAATGAGTTGCACGTGGCTCGCGAGCCGCCGTTTGGCCGACCGTCTTATATTTGTTCAGCAGAAAGTGAAATTGTTGTAGAGTAGGGCTCGTCGTACTTCCTGCTCTTCCGTCATACTTACCTGACACAGGGATCTATCCCTGTGCTGGTGCTATCCCGACTACGACTTGCTTGGACCGGCTCTGACCAGCTTGGACCAGCTATAACAAGCCACGACCAGCTATGACTAGATTAGACCCGCTCTGACCAGCTATGACCAGCTAAGACCAGCTATGACTAGCTTGGACCCGCTCTGACCAGCTTGGACAAGCTATGACCAGCTAAGACCAGCTATGACTAGCTTAGACCAGCTCCGACCAGCTTGGACAAGCTATGACCAGCTAAGACCAGCTAAGACCAGCTATGACTAGCTTAGACCAGCTATGACTAGCTTAGACCAGCTCTGACCAGCTTGGACAAGCAATGACCAGCTAAGACCAGCTATGACTAGCTTAGACCAGCTCTGACCAGCTTGGACAAGCTATGACCAGCTAAGACCAGCTATGACTAGCTTAGACCCGCTCTGACCAGCTTGGACAAGCTATGACCAGCTAAGACCAGCTATGACTAGCTTAGACCAGCTCCGACCAGCTTGGACAAGCTATGATCAGCTAAGACCAGCTATGACCAGCTAAGACCATCACTGACCAGCTTGGACAAACTATGACCAGCTAAGACCAGCTTGGACCAGCGGCCCGAGTGAAAACACCTGGGTCCCCACGTTAAAAACTGACCTTGTGTCATAACCTGACTCAGTGGGGGTTCAAGTAAATCTCTACTTCTTGCTCTTCCCTACTACTGTGGCAATTTTCTGCTACTTATCAATACGGAAAATACAAGTATGGACTGGATATAAGGAAAATGGACTGAAAATATATTTAAAAAATACTTCCGTTGTTCTTTAAGCAAACTTGTATAAATGAAAAATTATTCCCAATATATCAGATCATTGCAAAAGTTTTTGTCAGTTTTCCATTGTTAAAATAGCAGCAATCTAACACTGGTGTTTGTTTTGTTAGCGATTTAAAGGTGTTTTCGAAATTAAAACCTTGCATCGTTTGGTCTCAAGTCGGTCTTTAAGGTAGACATTGATGGACGATGAAAAGTTGCTCTTTCGCTGCATTATACTCCCTATGAATTTTGCAAAGGAATAAATGTCAGAAACTGACAAAAAAAAACCCCAAAAGACAAAAACAAAAAACATTCAAGTTTATATGAATCTCGCTCTGACTGTCGAAAAGTGGTTTGGCAGATTTTGTCAGGGTGATTTTAACCTAAACCATCAAACGCGCGCTCCGGGGCAATCTTCCGACGTCGATGAAGACGCCCTGCTTACAATTGCAGAGAATAAGCTGAAGATATCGACGGAAGAGATTGCTAAGAGTTTGAGAATCGATAACTCAACTGCGTTTCGCCATTTGAAGAGAATTGGGTTCAAGAAAAATGGCCGATTTTTTTTCAAATCGAAAACGTGTCATTTTCCACCACGAAAACAGAAGAATACATTTACAAAATAGACCTTGTCGAAGATTCCAGAGTTGAAATAGGAAACCCGCCAAGACCTACTGTATTCTTGTGACTTGGCTCCTTCGGATTTTCATTTATTCCGGTTTTTAAAGAACAATTTAAATGACCCCCAAAAATTGGTACCCGTTCAGTCCATCGAAAGATATCGAACAAACTTCGTCCAACAATTTCTACGAAAATGCCTCCAACGAATTTATAAAACGATGGGAGACAGTTGTTTAAAAAGTGGAGACTATGTACTTAACTATTTTTTTTTTATGTGTTTGTGTGTTTCATTAAAAACGATTGTCAAGTTACTTGTGTTAAGGTTTTGATTGTTTTTTTGTTTTATTTGGGGGGGGTTGTATGCAAACAAGAGATTCCATTTATTGAACTTAAGGTGTGTACAAACCAGGATGAATATGTACACACTTCTGTACATAACATACTCACCCAGAAAAGAAATGGGATACGACCCTCCAACTATATAAAAAAAAAAAAAATTCAATAAACCGTTACCATAAAAACAAAACAACGGCACTTAACAAGATCAGGCACGAACACGGCCACAATGTACTAGACGTATTCGTGAATGAAGAATAATTCTTATCTTTCAGCAATATTTAAACTCTGTACTCATAATAGCTTGATCCGTGGAAACACTCGGAACAAACAATTATTTAGACATTTTCAACATTTACTAATTCCCCAAAAGAAACCTCTTGTTCGCATAAAAAGACAATAAAATAAAATCATAAGAAAAGTACCTTGTCAGTCATTTTTAATAGAATATTTATTAGAAGGATTATTGCTTAAATAGACAACGGTATATATTTGCATAAAGGTAAAACACACGCATTTATAAGGTTATACATAGTTGGTGAGACCGAGAACTTTTCATCAGCACTTGAGAACTTTAAC